ACACAATGACAGGATCAAACAATGGAGTCTTACACAAGGTGGGCAGGGGAGGGCTAAGTATGGGACACAATGACAGGATCAAACAATGGAGTCTTACACAAGGTGGGCAGGGGAGTGTTTAGTATGGGACACAATGACAGGATCAAACAATGGAGTCTTACACAAGGTGGGCAGGGAGGACTCTGTATGGGACACAATGACAGGATCAAACAATGTAGTCTTACACAAGGTGGGCAGGGAGGGCTCTGTATGGGACACAATGACAGGATCAAACAATGGAGTCTTACACACAAGGTGGGCAGGGAGGGCTATGTATGGGACACAATGACAGGATCAAACAATGGAGTCTTACACAAGGTGGGCAGGGGAGGGCTATGTATGGGACACAATGACAGGATCAAACAATGGAGTCTTACACAAGGTGGGCAGGGGAGGGGCTATGTATGGGACACAATGACAGGATCAAACAATGGAGTCTTACACAAGGTGGGCAGGGAGGGTGCTATAGTATGGGACACAATGACAGGATCAAACAATGGAGTCTTACACAAGGTGGGCAGGGAGTGTTTAGTATGGGACACAATGACAGGATCAAACAATGGAGTCTTACACAAGGTGGGCAGGGAGGACTCTGTATGGGACACAATGACAGGATCAAACAATGTAGTCTTACACAAGGTGGGCAGGGAGGGCTCTGTATGGGACACAATGACAGGATCAAACAATGGAGTCTTACACAAGGTGGGCAGGGAGGGCTATGTATGGGACACAATGACAGGATCAAACAATGTAGTCTTACACAAGGTGGGCAGGGAGGGCTATGTATGGGACACAATGACAGGATCAAACAATGGAGTCTTACACAAGGTGGGCAGGGAGGGGTTCTGTATGGGACACAATGACAGGATCAAACAATGGAGTCTTACACAAGGTGGGCAGGGAGGGCTCTGTATGGGACACAATGACAGGATCAAACAATGGAGTCTTACACAAGGTGGGCAGGGAGGGCTCTGTATGGGACACAATGACAGGATCAAACAATGGAGTCTTACACAAGGTGGGCAGGGAGGGGGTCTAGTATGGGACACAATGACAGGATCAAACAATGGAGTCTTACACAAGGTGGGCAGGGAGGGCTATGTATGGGACACAATGACAGGATCAAACAATGGAGTCTTACACAAGGTGGGCAGGGAGGGCTATGTATGGGACACAATGACAGGATCAAACAATGGAGTCTTACACAAGGTGGGCAGGGAGGTTTAGTATGGGACACAATGACAGGATCAAACAATGGAGTCTTACACAAGGTGGGCAGGGAGTGTTTAGTATGGGACACAATGACAGGATCAAACAATGTAGTCTTTACACAAGGTGGGCAGGGAGGGGGCTATGTATGGGACACAATGACAGGATCAAACAATGGAGTCTTACACAAGGTGGGCAGGGGAGTGTTTAGTATGGGACACAATGACAGGATCAAACAATGGAGTCTTACACAAGGTGGGCAGGGAGTGTTTAGTATGGGACACAATGACAGGATCAAACAATGGAGTCTTACACAAGGTGGGCAGGGAGGGCTCTGTATGGGACACAATGACAGGATCAAACAATGGAGTCTTACACAAGGTGGGCAGGGAGGGCTCTGTATGGGACACAATGACAGGATCAAACAATGGAGTCTTACACAAGGTGGGCAGGGAGTGTTTAGTATGGGACACAATGACAGGATCAAACAATGGAGTCTTACACAAGGTGGGCAGGGAGGGCTCTGTATGGGACACAATGACAGGATCAAACAATGGAGTCTTACACAAGGTGGGCAGGGAGGGCTATGTATGGGACACAATGACAGGATCAAACAATGGAGTCTTACACAAGGTGGGCAGGGAGTGTTTAGTATGGGACACAATGACAGGATCAAACAATGGAGTCTTACACAAGGTGGGCAGGGGGAGGGCTCTGTATGGGACACAATGACAGGATCAAACAATGGAGTCTTACACAAGGTGGGCAGGGAGGTGATCTGTATGGGACACAATGACAGGATCAAACAATGGAGTCTTACACAAGGTGGGCAGGGAGTGTTTAGTATGGGACACAATGACAGGATCAAACAATGTAGTCTTACACAAGGTGGGCAGGGAGGACTCTGTATGGGACACAATGACAGGATCAAACAATGGAGTCTTACACAAGGTGGGCAGGGAGTGTTTAGTATGGGACACAATGACAGGATCAAACAATGGAGTCTTACACAAGGTGGGCAGGGAGTGTTTAGTATGGGACACAATGACAGGATCAAACAATGGAGTCTTACACAAGGTGGGCAGGGAGTGCTATGTATGGGACACAATGACAGGATCAAACAATGGAGTCTTACACAAGGTGGGCAGGGAGGGTTCTGTATGGGACACAATGACAGGATCAAACAATGGAGTCTTACACAAGGTGGGCAGGGAGGGTTTAGTATGGGACACAATGACAGGATCAAACAATGTAGTCTTACACAAGGTGGGCAGGGAGGGATCTGTATTGGACACAATGACAGGATCAAACAATGAAGTCTTACACAAGGTGGGCAGGGAGTGTTTAGTATGGGACACAATGACAGGATCAAACAATGGAGTCTTACACAAGGTGGGAAGGGAGTGTTTAGTATGGGACACAATGACAGGATCAAACAATGGAGTCATATACAAGGTGGGCAGGGAGGGCTATGTATGGGCCACAATGACAGGATCAAACAATGCAGTCTTACACAAAGTGGGTAGGGAGGGCTCTGTATGGGACACAATGACAGGATCAAACAATGGAGCCATATTCAAGGTGGGCAGGGAGGGCTATGTATGGGACACAATGACAGGATCAAACACTGGAGTTTTACACAAGGTGGGCAGGGAGCGCTCAGAATGGGCCACAATGACAGGATCAAACAATGTAGTCTTACACAAGGTGGGCAGGGAGTGTTTAGTATGGGACACAATGACAGGATCAAACAATGGAGTCTTACACAAGGTGGGCAGGGAGGTCTCTGTATGGGCCACAATGACAGGATCAAACAATGGAGTCTTACACAAGGTTGGCTGGGCGGGATCTGTATGGGCCACAATGACAGGATCAAACAATGTAGTCTTACACAAGGTGGGCAGGGAGGGCTATGTATGGGACACAATGACAGGATCAAACAATGGAGTCTTACACAAGGTGGGGCAGGGAGGACTCTGTATGTGACACAATGACAGTATCAAACAATGTAGTCTTACACAAGGTGGGCAGGGAGGACTCTGTATGGGACACAATGACAGGATCAAACAATGGAGTCTTACACAAGGTGGGCAGGGAGGGCTATGTATGGGACACAATGACAGGATCAAACATTGGAGTCTTACACAAGGTGGGCAGGGAGGGCTATGTATGGGACACAATGACAGGATCAAACAATGTAGTCTTACACACAAGGTGGGCAGGGAGGGACTCTGTATGGGACACAATGACAGGATCAAACAATGGAGTCTTACACAAGGTGGGCAGGGGAGGGGCTATGTATGGGACACAATGACAGGATCAAACACTGTAGTTTTACACAAGGTGGGCAGGGAGCGCTCAGAATGGGACACAATGACAGGATCAAACAATGTAGTCTTACACAAGGTGGGCAGGGAGGGGGCTATGTGGGCCACAATGACAGGATCACAATGACAGGATCAAACAATGGAGTCTTACACATGAAGGTGGGCAGCAGGGGAGGGCTATGTATGGGACACAATGACAGGATCAAACAATGGAGTCTTACACAAGGTGGGCAGGGGAGGGCTATGTATGGGACACAATGACAGGATCAAACAATGGAGTCTTACACAAGGTGGGCAGGGAGGGACTCTGTATGGGACACAATGACAGGATCAAACAATGGAGTCTTACACAAGGTGGGCAGGGAGGACTCTGTATGGGACACAATGACAGGATCAAACAATGGAGTCTTACACAAGGTGGGCAGGGAGGGCTATGTATGGGACACAATGACAGGATCAAACAATGGAGTCTTACACAAGGTGGGCAGGGAGGACTCTGTATGGGACACAATGACAGGATCAAACAATGGAGTCTTACACAAGGTGGGCAGGGAGTGTTTAGTATGGGACACAATGACAGGATCAAACAATGTAGTCTTACACAAGGTGGGCAGGGAGTGTTTAGTATGGGACACAATGACAGGATCAAACAATGTAGTCTTACACAAGGTGGGCAGGGAGGGCTATGTATGGGACACAATAACAGGATCAAACAATGGAGTCTTACACAAGGTGGGCAGAGAGTGTTTAGTATGGGACACAATGACAGGATCAAACAATGGAGTCTTACACAAGGTGGGAAGGGAGGGCTATGTATGGGACACAATGACAGGATCAAACAATGGAGTCTTACACAAGGTGGGCAGGGAGTGTTTAGTATGGGACACAATAACAGGATCAAACAATGGAGTCTTACACAAGGTGGGCAGGGAGGGCTATGTATTGCCACAATGCCACAATGACAGGATCAAACAATGTAGTCTTACACAAGGTGGGCAGGGAGTGTTTAGTATGGGACACAATGACAGGATCAAACAATGTAGTCTTACACAAGGTGGGCAGGGAGGACTCTGTATGGGACACAATGACAGGATCAAACAATGTAGTCTTACACAGGTGGGCAGGGAGTGTTTAGTAAGGGACACAATGACAGGATCAAATAATGGAGTCTTACACAAGGTGGGCAGGGAGTGTTTAGTATGGGCCACAATGACAGGATCAAACAATGGAGTCTTACACAAGGTGGGCAGGGAGGGCTATGTATGGGACACAATAACAGGATCAAACAATGGAGTCATATTCAAGGTGGGCAGGGAGGGCTATGTATGGGACACAATGACAGGATCAAACAATGGAGTCTTACACTGTTTGATAAGGGGAGTTAAGGACATAATGACATAATGAAACTGTCTGTTGAGGTTTTACCTTCAGTCCGGCAATGAATTCAGGGCTGATCTTTGGTGGGCTGCTTGTACTGGAGCAGTTTCCAGGAAAACAGGCACTTACACCACAGGTTACCTGAAACATTACATTTCCAATGGTGCATTTGGCATAGCCCGTGTAACAATTATTTGAATATTTCCTCAAGAGATGTTGACAAGATAACACCCAATAATAACAGGCATTTGGAGTTAGAAACACTAACAGACAAAACATGAATCACAACTATACCAATCGCAATAATCATATTTAAATTTTAATAAATATGTCCTTCTAATTTGTAAAAGAGATGGCACAAGTTATTGTTTTTCTGTCCAAACAAGTAAAACTTTTGAAATTGTCAATAAACTATTCTACAAATAGAAATGGCAGAACAAAGTATGCATGTATGACATCAACATCATTCATTGTGATTAATGATAACAAACGAATTCATTGTTTCTGAAAGTGTATATGTTATAACTAAACTGAACCTCCACTATTGAGTGAGTGAGTGAGTGAGTGAGTGAGTGAGTGAGTGAGTGAGTGAGCCTCAGTATGGACTGTATCACATTGAATCCATGTGGGGTAGTCGAATCTAGGTCTTTGGCGTGACAAGCAAACGCTTTTAGGCTAACCCACCGCCCCTCAATACTGATAAAACGAGAGATGACTAAATGAAGTTCACTGAAAAGTGTACCCATCACTGGCATAGCTGAGTTGTATAACTTTGAAGCTTCAAATCTTCTCCTTATTCATTATGATTTATGATTTGTGTTTGTAGGCTGATGAAATATATCACAATATCACATGAAACCTTCCCCGATATATCTCAACATATATCACATGAAACCATCCCAGATAAATCTCAACATATATCACATGAAACCATCCCAGATACATCTCAACATATATCACCTGAAACCATCCCAGATAAATCTCAACATATATTACATGAAACCATCCCAGATATATCTCAACATATATTACATGAAACCATCCCAGATATATATCAACATATATTACATGAAACCATCCCAGATACATCTCAACATATATCACCTGAAACCATCCCAGATATATCTCAACATATATTACATGAAACCATCCCAGATATATCTCAACATATATCACCTGAAACCATCCCAGATATATCTCAACATATATTACATGAAACCATCCCAGATACATCTCAACATATATCACATGAAACCATCCCAGATATATCTCAACATATATTACATGAAACCATCCCAGATATATCTCAACATATATCACATGAAACCATCCCAGATATATCTCAACATATATCACATGAAACCATCCCAGATATATCTCAACATATATCACCTGAAACCATCCCAGATATATCTCAACATATATTACATGAAACCATCCCAAATACATCTCAACATATATTACATGAAACCATCCCAGATATATCTCAACATATATTACATGAAACCATCCCAGATATATCTCAACATATATCACCTGAAACCATCCCAGATACATCTCAACATATATCACATTAAACCATCCCAGATATATCTCAACATATATTACATGAAACCATCCCAGATATATATCAACATATATCACCTGAAACCATCCCAGATACATCTCAACATATATTACATGAAACCATCCCAGATATATCTACACATATATCACATTAAACCATCCCAGATATATCTCAACATATATCACCTGAAACCATCCCAGATATATCTCAACATATATTACATGAAACCATCCCAGATACATCTCAACATATATCACCTGAAACCATCCCAGATATATCTCAACATATATTACATGAAACCATCCCAGATACATCTCAACATATATCACATGAAACCATCCCAGATATATATCAACATATATCACCTGAAACCATCCCAGATATATCTCAACATATATTACATGAAACCATCCCAGATATATCTCAACATATATCACCTGAAACCATCCCAGATATATCTCAACATATATTACATGAAACCATCCCAAATACATCTCAACATATATTACATGAAACCATCCCAGATATATCTCAACATATATTACATGAAACCATCCCAGATATATCTCCACATATATCACATTAAACCATCCCAGATAATTCTCAACATATATCACATGAAACCATATCAGTTATGTCTCAACATATATTACATGAAACCATCCCAGATATATCTCAACATATATTACATGAAACCATCCCAGATATATCTCAACATATATCACATGAAACCATCCCAGATATATCTCAACATATATCACATGAAACCATCCCAGATATATCTCAACATATATTACATGAAACCATCCCAAATACATCTCAACATATATTACATGAAACCATCCCAGATATATCTCAACATATATTACATGAAACCATCCCAGATATATCTCAACATATATCACCTGAAACCATCCCAGATATATCTCAACATATATTACATGAAACCATCCCAGATACATCTCAACATATATCACATGAAACCATCCCAGATATATCTCAACATATATTACATGAAACCATCCCAGATATATCTCAACATATATCACATGAAACCATCCCAGATATATCTCAACATATATCACATGAAACCATCCCAGATATATCTCAACATATATCACCTGAAACCATCCCAGATATATCTCAACATATATTACATGAAACCATCCCAAATACATCTCAACATATATTACATGAAACCATCCCAGATATATCTCAACATATATTACATGAAACCATCCCAGATATATCTCAACATATATCACCTGAAACCATCCCAGATACATCTCAACATATATCACATGAAACCATCCCAGATATATATCAACATATATCACCTGAAACCATCCCAGATATATCTCAACATATATTACATGAAACCATCCCAGATATATCTCCACATATATCACATTAAACCATCCCAGATAATTCTCAACATATATCACATGAAACCATATCAGTTATGTCTCAACATATATCACATGAAACCATCCCAGATATATCTCAACATATATCACATAAAACCATCCCAGATATATCTCAACATATATCACATAAATCCATATCAAATATATCTCAACATATATCACATGAAACCATCCCAGATATATCTCAATGGTTAGGTCCCGTAAGTTCGACCTTTGGATGGGTGTAAAAACAAACTGGTCGGTTTGGAGGGGTATGTCGTTTACGTCGACTGGTTCTAGACAATGGGCAGTCAATGTGTTACAACGGCACAGTTAATGCTAAAATGTTCACCGCAAAATAACTGAACAAGGATCACGCTGTAAAATGACATTTGTATTTGTGCATTCATTGGGGCAGTAATTTCTATTCTCTCCATGATAAACAATACATATACATAAAGTTCATAGCTGTCTCTAATTAAAATAACATAACGGATGGTTTTATTTTGAAAGCTATTTTTAGCTGGAGTACCCCAGGGTTCAGTATTGGGGCCGCTCTTGTTTATTGTTTATATAAATGATATAGTTGAAGGTATAAATAGTGATATACCCCTTTTTGCGGATGATACTGCATTACATGCGATCACTGACGATCCTGGGGTAATGAATGATGATTTACAGCAAATTGCCGAATCGGCAGCAAAATGGCAAGTATCTTTTAATCCCAATAAGACTCCAATGTCGAATCTAACCATGAATGGTAATGTCATTAATTCCGTTCACAGCCATAAATATTTAAGTCTTATACTTCAGCATGATTGCTCATGGAATGAACACATTAACTGTGCTAAAAAAGTTGCACCAGTGGTGAATTGTCAAAGAAGCTCCAAAATATCGTTTAAACCGAAAAACATTAGAAACCATGTACAAACAGTTCATATTACCAGTTTTTGATAATTGCAGTCATATATGGGATCTGTATTCGTTCTGTACAGGTCCGTAGTTGTGGTCACCAGGTACTTTCGAATTTATATCGTTCACTGTTGGGACTCTTGATCTGCAGTGTTTCTGAATGCATCTCCACGAGATCCATTCTTCCCTTTTCCTCTTGTTCACAATGAACATATAACCATTTACACACAGGTATCTTCCACCAGGAGAAATAGGAAGAAACCTATTGTGCATTTGCCATAACAGAAGTTATGGAAATGCTGATAAAAACTGTCATTTCCAGCATTCTTATAGTATGCAATTATATATAAGAAATTGAATAACTCACTAGTAATCAACATAATAAAAGTCATTGAGTGGGACTCACTCGTTCTCTGGTACACATGACATATTTCGTTTCCTGAGAGAACACATTTTACATTTTGTAGAATGACAGTGTCTTAATCCCTTAAAACAACACTGTTGCCACAACATCAAACATCAAAGGCTTTTCACCTTGACCCAAAGGTCGAACTTACGGGACTACCCCATCTCAACATATATCACATGAAACAATCCCATGTATATATACCAAAGCATACAGGTTGGAGACAGTATTTGAAGCTCTGTTATCCACACATTGTCTCCAGTTTGTTATGAACCATTGGTAAGTTTGGACAGGTGTTAGTCTAAAGGTGCATAACATTCTTATATTACCATGTACAGAGAGCCGGTAAAGTGGGGTGTAATTGGAAAGACAATGTCAATATTTTTATCACATTTCATTTCTTTGTTATCTGGCAGCAAAAAGACACTGGTGATATACATTCACATACTAAGTAATCTTCCAATGACATTATCTCACCTTTGAATTAAAAGCAAGCTGGTCTATATCAGCAACATTCATTTCATAGGATGTAACATTGGCATCCTCGATAGTGACATTGCTCAAGACATCATCATTATGATACCAGATAAGGGAGTAATTGAGATCAACACGCTCACTGAAGTCAAAACTACAGCAGAACCTGAACACATCAGTTGTTGTGTTGTAGCTGGTCGTCAGACTTGGTACTTCACGCAAGTAAGGGTATTCTACAACATCAAAGGGTATGACAGGCAATGTATGACCCCATAAACATATATTCTAGCTGAAATCAACAATCAAACAAAAAGTATAAACTTTTCCAATAGAAAAAGCAGTTCTGACATGTCAGTAAATTGTTTCTAATGTGTTTAAACAACATTAATGATGCTGATTTGTTTAAACAAGTTCTGATGCAATGATTACCAACTGTTCACCTTACATTTCCAAATGTATATTTCTAAATATGGTTTAAGAAATGAGATTACTTTTCTTCCTGAAAAGGCAATTAAAATGACATTTTACTTTAACTGTAATAAGTCCCGAAATAGATGCCAAAAAATAACTTTATTATATATCTCAAACAGAAGAATTCCTGCAGAGTCCTATCATGATTTAGTGTCTGTGACGCCTACCACTTGTCTGAATGTGCATGTAAAACCTTGCTGCCATACCCTGGTGGAATTTGAAATGTATATGCTGAAACAAGTTGAGGAGATATACATAAATACATTATTTCAAAACTCGTAGATAATTGAAATTACACTAACTAAAATGACTAAAAGCCCACATAAATCTTCAAAGTAAATCCACAAGATCATCAGAGAAAACACTCAATTTGAAACATGAGAGCCGTTAGGCAGACAAATGCATGTGTGTGTATTTGAATCTCTCACCGTTCATGGTTTTTTAACATAACATTCATTGATAGGGGGAAGGGGGACAAGTCTTCTTGAAGGTTACAAACAGGGGTGAGTTGTGAGGGATGTATAATATATGACAACTGCCTCCTAGTAGACAATGATTGGTGTTCATTTTGATTCGACAAGTTCATTTGCCATGAAAGTTGAAGAGGTTTAAGATGAGCTAATTCCACTACCATTCCAAACTCAATTAACATGCTATCATCACTTTAAGATGTTTTGATTACTGCTGGCATAAGAAACATTTAATTAAAATGTGAGTAAATTTTAAATATCACATCTCAAAAGCCATGAGTCTTAATCTTGTTTTCATTCAACAAAACACGACTTTAGAATATAATAAAATCAATGTTATATAAAAATATACACTCATTTTCCTCACAATGAAAGTAGAGAGCTCAATATTAGTGTTGAAATGTTATGCCATTATGAGGCCTTTGTTTTCTCGTTGTTATGGGCCATAGTTACCCCCCCTTAGATTATGATGTAATTGGTGCAACTTTTACTGGTATCTTGTCTAGTCCCAACGCAAAAGATGTCCATAGTCACATCAATTATGTGAAGAAATATGCAAAAGACACGTAAAACCTGTTGATAATTGAAACTGTAGGCAGCAGGAGAGATTGACTGTGTGTCCTTTCAATCATAAACTTCCCCCCCAAGGAAAATACTAAATATGTAAAACAATGTTGATGTATGATGATACTACCAGTCACCAACATTCACAACATGGCATGTTCACTGACATATAAGTAATCAGGAACATTTTGACAATCAAAGGTAATATTTGCTATTTATACTTCAAAACATACACCAAAATGGCATAAAACATGGCAAGAGTAATTATCTGTAAAACAGCTTTCCCTACAGTGATAGTGGAGGATACAACAGAAGAGGGAATTTCCCACAGAAGTGAACTACATTTGCTTTTAACGTCAAATGAGGGTTGAAGAGGAGGGCATTGATATCAATCCCTCTGGCATCCATTGGGTTTAAACAGTGGGCTGCACATTGAGAGGCAAGAACCATACATCTGTACCTAAACCATGTGAAATGGGTGTAAGAAGGTCCAACAACATCATTCATTTATGAATTGGCACCAAGGACATCATATTGCAAAGGACCTAAACCATGGTGAGTTTATTAAGGAAACTGAACTCTCAGTAAATGTGAAAATGTGAATCGATAAAACACAAAAATAGAATTGTTACTTGTGATATCTGTACTGTTTTGTCTAGGAAACTAAAAGGTAATAGCTTCTATGTTGAAAAAGTGTAAAAGAAAAACATTTTGTATGACTGAATTCAATATCAAAACATGTACAAACTTCAGAGCTCCATTACATTTATTTTAGACATACCTTTAAAGAACACTCAAACATTAATATCTCACTTATTACTAGCTGTCTACACTGAGTAATCTATGAAGAATCCATGTGTTAACTTCATCCCAGACTGGTTGATACTAATTGTTAGCCTCACCTCTGACTGGACTCCAACTTCGATAGTTCTCGAAGGAGTTACACACAACTGTATCATTATCTGGCTTCTTGTCCCCATACATGTAGCACTGGTTATCAATGAAGCAGGTATTTATCTGTAAACAATAGTTCAGCCTGTTTAATCCTACATACATCAGGTAATAGTCATTACATTCATGTCAAGTCAGTATCTCAAACAAGAACTGAAGTAATGGAATGGATTACCTTCAGTGAGCACGTCCCAGCACTTTCACAGTCATGGCATCTAGAGTGGTAGACTGTGTACACAACGCTCACACTAAAGATGATGTTGTTGTTGCTGACTGTAACAGTGTAACTATCAACTGTTGGAAGAGGACACACGACTTGGTTGGGAGTTACTAACACTGCTGCAACGGTGACATTCTCCCCCATCTGTGTGTAGGAACCCTCAGTCATCTACATTAAAAAATGGCATAATTGACATCAAAACTGAAAAAAACCCACCTTCATTAAAACAAAATTTAGATCATCAATTAAGCCAAAACACTAATTCTGCACAATTCCAAAATATAAATGCAAATTTCCATGAATAGCTTCCCAGTTGATTATATAGCTGTATCATTCAGATTTGGTGAATGTAATGATCGAAAGTTACTGACCTGTATCAACTGTAAACGGCACACTAGGTCAGAGGAGGCGGCAAATGGGCCCCCAACAATTGTGATGCTGTTACACTGTGTCTGAGACACATCACACAATCCATTGCCTGCAACATCTCTGATAGATGGAGCCTGGTCTAGACGTACATCACATGCTGATCCTCCATATCCATCTGGACATGAGCAGTTGCCTGTAACAGTGTGTCAGAGGGTGCAAGCAATTACTTTTAACTGTGTATCAGAAGGTGCAAGAAGTTGTCTGGAACAGTGTGTCAGAAGGTGCAAGCAGTTGGCTGTATAAGCATGTCAGAAGGTGCCAGCAGTTTTCTGTTTCAGCATGTCAGAAGGTGCAAGCAGTTGGCTGTATCAGCATGTCAGAAGGTGCAAGCAGTTGTCTGTTTCAGCATGTCAGAAGGTGCAAGCATTTGTCTGTATCAGCATGTCAGAAGGTGCCAGCAGTTGTCTGTTTCAGCATGTCAGAAGGTGCAAGCAGTTGGCTGTATAAGCATGTCAGAAGGTGCCAGCAGTTTTCTGTTTCAGCATGTCAGAAGGTGCAAGCAGTTGGCTGTATCAGCATGTCAGAAGGTGCAAGCAGTTGTCTGTTTCAGCATGTCAGAAGGTGCAAGCAGTTGTCTGTATCAGCATGTCAGAAGGTGCAAGAAGTTATCTGGAACAGCATGTCAGAAGGTGCAAGCAGTTGTCTGGAACAGTGTGTCAGAAGGTGCAAGCAGTTGTCTGTATCAGCATGTCAGAAGGTTAAAGAAGATATCTGGAACAGCATGTCAGAAGGTGAAAGCATTTGGCTGTAACAGCATGTCAGAAGGTGCAACAGTAGTCTGTAACAGTGTGTCAGAAGGTGCAAGAAGTTATCTGGAACAGCATGTCAGAAGGTGAAAGCAGTTGTCTGGAACAGCATGTCTAAAGGTGCAAGATGTTGTCTGGAACAGTGTGTCAGAAGGTGAAAGCAGTTGGCTGTAACAGCATGTCACAGGGGCAAGCAGTTGTCTGGAACAGTGTGTCAGAAGGTACAAGCAGTTGTCTGTAACAGTGTAACCAGTTTATATGTAGATGTACCATGTCAGTACTTACATCGACTACTGGCAGCACAGTCTACAGCACACAGAGAAGTGATGAAGGCAGGCTCAGGTCGGAGGACTCCACCCACCTCCACCCACAGGGCGATGTTTCTCTCTGCCTCCCACAGGCAGCCATCTAGCAGGCTCAGTCGGGACACAGCTTCCCAGTCATTACTGTCTGTCATCTACAAACAGTGTATATACTCAAGTCTGTGTGCCAAAATGATTTTGCAGTGTGTTCAGCTTAGTTCATGCAATCACAATTTTTCTGAATATGGACAAGTTTATGTTGAAATTTCAGGAATTCCACTTATCACTACCAAACTTGTTCTTTATCCTAGATGGGTCAGTTTTGTCTAGCTGTTGTTCCTTACAGAAGATTCCTTTTCATATTTTACATATATGTATACTTTGTTCCAGAAGAAACGCGATCCTTATTTATTTTCGAAAATTCCAGAATTGTCTTATCTTCTTTACAATCATAACGAATGTGCATGTTAAATGTTCCTTGAAACCAATATTGAAATTAAACTTCTGAAACAAGACTTTTAACGTCAGATTAGCTGTAAAAAACTGAATCTATTTATTGAACATTTTTATGGGAAAAAACAACAGAAACGCATCACATAAATGCATGCCCTGACTCGCTGCGCACGTGAATTAAATGATACAACACTTTCTTCAGGAAAATCGAGAGAAAGAACCCTTTAAACGATGCGAGGGCAGTTTCTGTTGTGTTCTTTTTCTGAATGGTTCAGAGAACAATATGCCACATCTGAGCAATGAAGCACGTCTACTCTCTCTTGGGATGACTGATGCTGGTTCCAGTGTTGTCAATGTCGCACAACATAAATGAGTACATTGGACAATAATTTACCGACTGATTGAACGATTGTGTATTCATAGCTATGTTCCTGTTGCTGACTATATGGTCAGATGACATCAAACCTAGTTATCATAGCTGAGACCATTTAGAGGTGTGACGAGACTTTCCTCACTTGTCATTTATTCACATTGGTATTACCTATGCCCATATTTGTTAACAGTGTCCTTCAATTATATTTTTAGAGAAGACTTGATCTACAAATAAATAATGAATATTGACCTCAGGGATAAAACTTTTGTCCTTCATAATTTCATGAGACCAATGTTGACCTTTGTACCTGTATAAATGCTGACCTACATTTTAAAGACAAACATTATTGGGTTCTGTATTAAAAACATTCGTAAATGGATATCTGACAATTATTGTACCTGCTTATATCTCTGTAAAATGCTCCAACAGATCAACACAATTTAACGCATTATAATGGTGGTAATGCTGCGTTATTATTTGTGGCAATGATATTCACTGTAGAACAATGTAGTAATTGTGTCACAGCATTTCTTTTTAGATAAAGTAGAGGGCTGTGGAAGTCTGCTTCCAGAGCAGCGAGAATAATGCAAAATATTCTAACCATCATTTTACAAAGACTGCCAGCACAGAAACATCTGGAAGTATAGTATAGATATATCAAGCAGATACATTCAGGTCTCAGTCATCTGACATTACATCAAACGCCAGCAGTTGTGCGATGGTCACTTTTCAACCTGGAGTCTAAGTTAAGGCCTGTTTGGAAGCTTGACCATAAAGATAAGTGAGTATTCACTGTCTTGATTGTAACAATCACTGCCTGTATATCATAGTACCATGTATGAAGAAATGAAACAAGATGATTTAGTTACCTTGACTCTCTGGACACAGAGGTGCATAGCCCAGTCAAAGTAAGATGGAAGAAGTTTTGCACAATGGGCCAGTACATCCGAACCATTGATCACTGACCGACAGGTTTCTTGAACATCAGACTCAGTTCTGTTGGAAGCAGTTGGCCATTCATATGTCTGGGGGTATAGATGTTGACAAATTAGTCTCACACCATAGTTATCAACATTGCAGATCATCATACATTCTATTGGACTCGACTGATTAGTCTCACACCATAGTTATCAACATTGCAGATCATCATACATTCTATTGGACACGACTGATTAGTCTCACACCATAGTTATCAACATTGCAGATCATCATACATTCTATTGGACTCGACTGATTAGTCTCACACCATAGTTATCAACATTGCAGATCATCATACATTCTATTGGACTCGACTGATTAGTCTCACACCATAGTTATCAACATTGCAGATCATCATACATTCTATTGGACCACGACTGATTAGTCTCACACCATAGTTATCAACATTGCAGATCATCATACATTCTATTGGACTCGACTGATTAGTCTCACACCATAGTTATCAACATTGCAGATCATCATACATTCTATTGGACTCGACTGATTAGTCTCTCACACCATAGTTATCAACATTGCAGATCATCATACATTCTATTGGACTCGACTGATTAGTCTCACACCATAGTTATCAACATTGCAGATCATCATACATTCTATTGGACACTCGACTGATTAGTCTCACACCATAGTTATCAACATTGCAGATCATCATACATTCTATTGGACTCGACTGATTAGTCTCACACCATAGTTATCAACATTGCAGATCATCATACATTCTATTGGACTCGACTGATTAGTCTCACACCATAGTTATCAACATTGCAGATCATCATACATTCTATTGGACTCGACTGATTAGTCTCACACCATAGTTATCAACATTGCAGATCATCATACATTCTATTGGACTCGACTGATTAGTCTCACACCATAGTTATCAACATTGCAGATCATCATACATTCTATTGGACTCGACTGATTAGTCTCACACCATAGTTATCAACATTGCAGATCATCATACATTCTATTGGACTCGACTGATTAGTCTCACACCATAGTTATCAACATTGCAGATCATCATACATTCTATTGGACTCGACTGATTAGTCTCACACCATAGTTATCAACATTGCAGATCATCATACATTCTATTGGACTCGACTAATTAAATACACATATAAACAAGCCATATGGATTCAATAGAATTTGCAGAAATCAAACACTGCCAATAATTATGTTTCACAACACAATCCATGTTTTATCATTATTATTATCATCATAAGAAAATATTGACATAGAGCACATATCCACGCATGCTCAAGGTGCTGAAGTGTTCCCATGATTATCAGATGTCTTTTTTCTGGCATTCTGTTTTAATCAACTCAACTCCTTGGGGAATATTCAACTCATGCAGCCTCTTAGGTGCAGCGAGTTATCACACAGCCTCATCCTCACAAGGTACCCATTTGCATCTGAGTGAACTCGGACACATCGTCACAGTAGTTTGTCCAATGATACTGCACATTACTATAGGTGTCTGCACGAGTTTGTGTGTCCACCATCTGGTCACCTACCATCAGATGAGTAGGTTCTTTTAAGTGCACAGGGTTGTGTACTGCACACTAGGGGTTGTGACAACACTGAAAGAGCCTGCAAGTAATGTTAGCTCCAAGGATTTTACACCCGGTCACCTTGCGCTTACTAGCATGGTGCCTTAGACAGCTCTCCCACCTTGCCAGCTAACTTTGCGTTCTGTTTGATATTGTAACAGATGTAAGTCCATGTCTAACCTGTGGCTGGAAGTCTGTGTTATATTGGAAGATAGAAGTTGCTGAGTCATCACATCTGGAAGCTGTTGGGAAGCTCATGTAACTGGTCACATCTGTAGTAATACAGCAGAGCATACAAGTGGTAATACAACAAAGATATCTATAGCAATACAGTGGAGCAAGTCTGTAGTAATATATAAGAGCATATCTATAGCAATACATTGGAGCATATCTGTAGTAATATATAAGAGCATATCTATAGCAATACACTGGAGCATATCTGTAGTAATATATAAGAGCATATCTATAGCAATACATTGGAGCATTAAAAATGCAATTGGTATTTGTTGTCCTGAAACTTAAAAAAGTTCTATTGAAGATTTTTTCCTGCGATACAGAGGATGTAGGGAGAAAAGGCTGTTATTCTGGCCCATTTCGAGTTCGAGTCCCAGAGCATTCCTCTCACATGAACTTTGATACTTAAAACTGAACCTTTGACATTTCTCGTAAACACAACCACATTCATGAAACACGTTGTGCATTACCTGCACCCAGGCCCTGTAAAAGCACAAGTAATTGTGGAACTCAATCACTTTGAGAAAATGCCATACTTGACACAAGACGAAAGGAATCAGGTTATCGGTATGGTCAGCCAAGGTGCTTCAGATGTGATGATTGCCAGGCACTTTAATGTGCATCCATCCACTGTAAGTCGACTCAGACAACATTTTCGGGCTACCGGAAGTGTTGCTGATCGTCCGCGACCTGGTGCACCACCTGTGATAACAGCTCGACAAAACCGCAATATCCGAGTTTCACACTTGGGCAATCGGTTCCAAACAGCTGATGATTAGGCAAGGAGGACCATTGGGACAAGTCAACGTCATTTCAGTGCCCAAAAGGTGCAAGGACGCCTTTGCTGCCTTCAACATCCGTGTCGTCACCCGCACCGTGGTCCAACCTTATTGCATCGCCACAGACTTGCCAGACAGCGATGGGCAGCAAATGGGGCCAATCTTGGCAACAGGACATGGCCAGATGTCATTTTTTCAGATGAATCCAGGTTTAACTTATCCTTTGCAGATGGACGTCAACAGATTTATCGACGTAAAGGAGAAAGACTTGCGCCAAACTGTGTCCTTGAACATGATCGTTTTGTAGGGGGTGGTGTCATGATCAGACCACAGACCATCAGAGGCTGCAGACCATCCAACAGTTGTTCCTGAGAAATGTGTGTCTTTCAATGCCCCAAAGACTGCGAGCATGTCTTGCAGCGCACGGTGGACACACACGATATTGACTGCAAGTGACCCCTCCTTTGTGTGATGTCGTTGTTGCGTCACAGATGTTGTTTCTTGATTAGACATTTTCAGATGAAATTATTCACAGATGTTCACTTAAATCATATCTGCCAGTTAGGTTTATATATGTTGAAATTAGTGTGAGTAAAGAAAGTATGAATGTCAAATTGCATTTTTAATGGCTTTCAGTATATAAGAGCATATCTATAGCAAGACAGTGGAGCATATCTGTAGTAATAAAGTGGAGAACATCCAGCTTTATGGCAAGCACAAAGATGTGAAGAAACCAAATGAAATTGACGTTTAACTGGCATGTTTAACACACCCATCTTCCATCTGCTGGATATGATTGCCAGTGCTGGGAACAATTATGATCTGGAAATCACTCATCAGGGTCAGGGATCAGGTCTTACAGTAAGATTGGAGATAAATTGTTGAGCATGTACTTTCTATTACCCGGTTTCTAAAGTTCTAATATACTATCAAGTCCAAGACCCAGGCAGTGCAGAATCCCATTCATATTGGAGCCAGGTGTCCTCGTACACAAGGGCTCCCCCTCCCCCCCTCCCCAGAAGATTGATATCAGAAAACAAAGGATTTGATCATGGAAGTAAGAGATCATCAGGTTAACTTCTATCCAGGATCTATTGTTCACCAGAAGGATCAGTGAGAGGATGGTTCAGACCTAAGTAAGTTTCTGTCAGAACTGGGTCAGAATCTAAATTTCTAAAATTATCAGCAGAATGCGATGATGAGAAAACTCCCTTAATATTGGCAGCACCTGAACATGTTCTGTTTACAGATGCATCCATTTCAGCATGAGGAACTTGCATGGTCGGATTAACAATCCAGGCTTGCTAGGCCACAAAAAAGCTCTACATGAATGTAAAAAATGTATGACGTACTCATGACAAGGAAACATCTAACGCTGTCCGCTGTCCTTGTTGCTACAGACAATAGGACTTTGATCATTTTTAACCAATAGCAAGGGGGAAAAAGAATGGCTATTTGTGGAAGAGTGCTACTTTTGTTTGTCTTTGCAGACTTGATCAGATATAACCAAGGACAAGTTAACAGGTAAGCTAAGTCTCTTTTTTTTATAAAACTTAATATTGTCAGAATGCTCTCTCCATCCAGTTATAATGCAGTAACCCAGCTGGACATCCACATGTCTGAACAATAAACTCCCAGTATATGTCACTTAGGTTCTGGATCCTGGTGGCCTACAAGTGTTGTAATACAGTGATACATATAACTGCAAGCTCAAATCATAAGCAAACATATCATTACCTAAAGGAAAGTCATACAATATCCGTAGGCCATGTAAATTCATACTATCCAAATAATCATGAATCTACATGACAACATTCTGGATTCCACATACCTACAAACTCTGTATCTTCAGTCCCTGGACAAGGCATAATGTCCAGTCTGTCATCACAGGTGTCATTGTGACCATCAAGACAGTCACAGAACCCTTGCAAGTCAGTCATTACTGTCTCCTGACAGTAACCACCATACAATGTCATATTTGCAAGCACTCTGAAAAGAGGCATACAACAGTATATTGGCATATTCATGCATATTGTATTTGATTCAACCCTTCATGGTTGTACTTAGTAATGATGACAATTCTTTCCATATATTCTACAAGGTCTATTTTAAATGATCATGTTTATCATGGTTAATCAGTTAGCGTGGGGTACATGAACAATATGGCAAGGTTGGAGTTGAGAGCAAAGGTTGCCACCTCATATGTCAAACTGGTAATATCATTTGTGGGCAAAGAGCATTGTAGATGTTACCTTCATTAGACATAATGTATACACACATTCAAATAGAATGAAATCCCCCAATGTTTGGAACCATGAGATATTTACATTTTAACTGAAATAAAACTGTTCAAATGCTTTTCAGATATGCTATGAGAAAACCTGAAATTGTCATAGAAGTACTTTTTATAATGTTTTCATTGTACGTAAAAAAGTGATGGATTTATGAAACTAGAGCAAGGCATTACTTCAGTATTTGAGATATGTGTAATGTTACTTACCGCCATGAGAGGGAGAAGATATCAGGCCTTGATCCAGGCCTTTCATAAATGAATCCATCCTTCATTTCAAGATCATTCACGACATTTCCATCATAGGATCCACACAGTCCTGAAATAGTACCCAGACACTGTGAGACCTATAGATCCTTGTAACTAAGACATGCTAGTAATATAAACATTGTTTGGTAGCTGTTCCTAACTGTGACAGACTTACCTAAAGTGTTGTTGTAATCATACGGTGACAAAGTGACAGAGATGTCCATGTCTTGAGAGTTATCACCTCTATAAACATTGTTTGGTAGCTGTTCCTAACTGTGACATGTTACCTAAAGTGTTGTTGTAATCATACGGTGACAAACTGTGACAGACTTACCTAAAGTATTGTTGTAATCGACCAGTGACAAAGTGACAGAGATGTCCATGTCTTGAGAGTTATCACCTCTATAAACATTGTTTGGTAGCTGTTCCTAACTGTGACAGACTTACCTAAAGTGTTGTTTTAATCGACCAGTGACAAAGTGACAGTGATGTCCATGTCTTGAGAGTTATCACCTCTATAAACATTGTTTGGTAGCAGTTCCTAACTGTGACTAACTTACCTAAAGTGTTGTTGTAATCATACGGTGACAAACTGTGACAGACTTACCTAAAGTATTGTTGTAATCGACCAGTGACAAAGTGACAGAGATGTCCATGTCTTGAGAGTTATCACCTCTATAAACATTGTTTGGTAGCAGTTCTTAATTGTGACAGACTTACCTAAAGTGTTGTTGTAATCGACTGGTGACAAAGTGACAGAGATGTCCATGTCTTGAGAGTTATCACCTCTGAGGCGTACAGTGATGTATGTTCCACTTGGCAGAGTTATCTGGATTAGGAACATGGTTCATTGTGAAAAGGAAGAGTGACATGTTCCTTAATCTCAACACTATGTTGCAGAATGCTAGTCCAGTGTTGAAGGAAACTCAAATGTATGGGGATTACACTTTTACCACTTTTGACAAACATGAAATGTTTATGGAAAATATAATGTGAAGCAAATCTGGGCCATGCATACACATGAAGTGATAGGAAATGTGGATTATATGTTGTCATAAACAGCCATAAACCAAAATCTGACCTGCAGCTTGTTTCCACGTGTGCTCTTGATGGACATTCCTGGTGTCAAGTTGTCATTCTGATAGACTTTGACAGTGACAGACTTTGTGATTTCAGGTCCACATCTGTCCACCATGATGACATCATCACCAGCTACCACTGCTACCCCACATGTTCTGGTCTGAGTGAACACGTGCACCTGACATGGACATACATAGATATGTTGGAGGTTAATGTACAGCTTGCATGCTTATATCGCTCCATATCACAGAGTAGAGTTTTATGTTGTGTCATCATACATCTTCTGCAGTATAACAATTGTTCCATGTGTCTAATCCGGTCTGGAGCTCAATATATGACCCATGCTATAAGTATATACAATCATAGCTACATTCTCAATCATTGATTCATTTAGACAAATGCAATGAGAACATAATATCCATGTTTGACTGAAGTTAAAAAGAGGTATATATATTAAAACTGAAAATTTTAGAATGCGAGACTCATCAAAATATAATGATATAGTTATTATTATTATTATTATTATTACATCTCCATGCGCATGCACACTGGCCGCAACCATTTATATAAGTTGCAAATGGTAAAAAGAATTAGTGGAGAGTAGGGACAGTTGGGGGAATGGGCCGGGTGGATTTCAGCGTACTTTATTATATGAGTCAGGACAAGTATTCAGTCAATATTTCACTCTAAAAAACAACATATTTTTCTTTATCCTGATCATGACTCATTGCTTGAATCTGTCGGTAGGTGGTGGGCAGCCACCTAATTTTGATTTCATATACTGTTCATGTAACCATTTGGGATGAAAAGGGGTACCACCTTCTTTTAGGTATAAAAGATAAAAGAAGCAAAGATTTTGTGGATTTGTGACTTGCATACTATGGATGGTAGTTACCACCTTTACTTAGGTGACTTATAAGATGAGTGAAATCAGGTAAAGCAGATCAGAAATTTGTTTCATTGAAAGTGAAAGTTGAAAGTGTAAAAGGAAATGCAATGTGTGTTAAATCAATGATATTTGTTGTCGTCAGAAGACCAGTTGTACTTGTACTGTACCTCATATGGCAGGGTCTTGTGTGAATAGAGAACGAACTCTCCTTGGTTGTAGGTCTCATAGAATCTACCATCTGTTGTTACTACATAAGGAAAGGCAAATCCACACCAAGATTGTTGGTCTTTATCCACAATAGTTAACTGGAACCACAAAAACAGCACACTGGATTATTGGTGCAATGGCTACAATTTCTGAAACTACATAAAATATATTCTAATGCACAGAAAATCATAATCTTGTTTGTTGAATGTTTGGGATATCATTATTATTTTACAAAACATCAAGTTAGTGACTAACATGCATTAAGTGAGACTACTTAGGTCAGTATCCAACAATGGTACAACTGCATTCTAGCAGCATAATGTGCACCTTTCTATCATGTTGTTTACTTTGATTATTCAACATGATGAAAAGACCTAATATGTTCTGTATTCAGCAGTTTACTTGTGAAGTTAAACAAGGATTCTCTAGTATAGGTATTACCTGAATACACACCCACAACTCCTGAACCAAAATTCAACTAGGACAAAAAAAAGAAATGTAAAGTGTATCAAAAACCCAATGGTGTTTTCATTTCACACCAACTGTCAAACCATCTGTCAATTTTAATAAACAGGTTTACACAACCTAATGTCCAAGGTGGTTTTCCATTTGCCCATGTACAGTAGTTAACTCCTGTACCTTGTAATGCTAACTCACATTGATTGTGCTGAGGTGTTGCAAGTCCGACAGCCCACTGGCCACTGACATCAGCTGGTAGCCGACAGTCAGGGATCTGTTTTGATCACCATCATATAGTCCATCAAGCTTGGCCAACAGGGACATGTGTTGTTCAGCTTGCCAGTTGTACATGGTAATCTCAATGCCACACTTGGTTTGGTTTGGTATTCCACCAATCACAACTTGCTTGATGACGTCACCTGATTCACACTTGTAGTCCATGGTGTCCTCAGTGAGCAATGCCCGTACCATGATGGTGCAGTCTGTGTGGTTGCCCCAGGAGTCACAGATGAAGGATGGGGGAACTTGGGATGTGATAGTCAGCTGGGTGGCAGGACCACCTTCCATAAGAGTTATCATACTCTCACTTCTCACCTATAACATATATCTCCATTACATCATGCATCCAAGTATACCAGAAATAGCCACACCATCAAATGTTTGGGTGATTGACTACTCTAACTAATATTATACATTCCTCTTGTTCTTATCAGTATAATGTTACGATTATCACATGAGTGTGGTTTTTTAATAAATGTGTGTCAAAATATTTCTATCTCGTGAGTTCTTAAAATCAGAAGTTTACACAACCTAAAGTACTTCTCACTTTCTTATCCATACTAGATGGTAGAACTGCATCTCCCATCTGCCAGGAAGCTACCTGGGTCAACATGGCATCAACAATGACACTTGTATGCTCTGTTGTCATTACTGTACTAAACACGAACACAATCTTTTGCATCATTTAAAATGGTATTTACATACTGCCAACAAAGAGCAGATGAACGATTATTACACATGTGATTTTGTTAAATTTGTGTATTTTGTAATGGAATAAATGAAGATTTGCCTTCACAACAAGCTCAAGGAGGTTGCTTCGTCTGATTGGCCCTGTAGAGTTGGCGCAGTCACTCTGGTAGCAAGCCGTTACTGCACATGACAACTGTACAAACAAAATTGTCTGTTGTAACATATGGTTACATTTCATATTTGTAATTTGAAAGCTGATCATCCATATTAAGATTACAAGTCCTTTCTTTAGACTAGATAAAAAATCTACACATTTATGTTTCTGCAGAGCCTTCAATGACTCTATAACATACCTTTGTGCCATACTTGAGTCCTGCCAGAAGGGTCCTATTCATGTACAGTAGTACATCATCACTGTCATATGCCAAAGGACCAGTGATATCCACAATGTCTTCATCTACCAGCCACTCAACTGTGTATTCAAGGCTCATATTCACGGTCTTCACTCTGGGAAACTCACAGGCCAGAGTCAGGTCAAATTCCTCACTGTCAGGAACCTGTCGGATACTCACTTGAGGGTTTCTTGGAATAACAGCAGTTACACCTGCAAGTGTTATGTGTCTCTTCAGAACTTACACAATGGCTTTGTTTTAGTATACAGGGATCATCATGCAAGTATGTTTAGTGGACTCTAAAAAGCCTTCATCAAACATTGTAGTTAGTGAGACTTGGCATGCTAATATGCTAATTACATAGCCTTTACTCCCCAAAACACATGTGAGATAACCTCTTTATTAAGTCTGTGTGTTGGCAAATAAATTCTATTGCAATAAATTGTGATTCTGCAACCTGTATTCTGATGCATATAGCAATATATTGGGAGCATCAATGTTTGACAGTGAGTGACATTGATTGTACATACAGAGCCTATTTTCTACATGCTAAAGCCCAAACATAAATGTTATGGATTTGATTTTGAGGGACTGTATTTTCCTTTTATAAAATTCACTGTATGTAAAGCATGCTCTCAGTCTATTCATTACAACAGAAAACTTCAGTGTGAATGAATGTCTGTGTAAATCTAACCTTAAATCATAGAGATCTTCACAAAGCTTCTTATATTATTATTACCTAATATACCAGTTCTAATGAAATACATTGCAATATGTTTTGTTTAGATGGCATATTGTGATATACTGGTATACCAGTAATACTATGTAGTCCCACTCTATATCATTTGATAGTCACTCTAAACTTTATCTTCAAAATATGTATTTTCATCTCTCATAAAAGGGTATGTAAACATTGAGAGCACATGTATATATCATTACAGTATTCTCAGAATACTGCCACTATTACCTCAATGCCATAAATCATTCACAATCCAAATGTTCAGATTTTCAGCAGACATCCTCTTCACTGTCAATTTTACTTAACTAGTTGTCCCCACAGAAGTGCTATCATGTTACGGTTCTTCCATGCATGAAGGTGGAACAAAGGTGGACTATCCATGCAATAATATTTTGCAATATGTATCTCCAAATCAAGCTGCACATGTGAAGGCCTCAGCTACACAGGTTTTGAATCTGATAATCTGATAATCTTCAACTACTAGTTTGATAACAAACATATCCATGTGTTCAATTGTCAATTTTGACTCAATCACCACTTGACAGGACCAAGACATGTTCGGTAGCCGCTGAGATACTAAAACTAACACCTACCAAAACAACTTTTATTATTCACATATCTTTTTGCAAAAGATCCCAACCAATATAATTTTCATCTGTTACCTTTATCCAATGAAGTAACCAAGGCATTATGGGATATAACTAATTGCCACACTATTTGTTAAACTATTTGTACCAAATTCTTTACATCAATTTTATTGACTCAAATCCCACCTGCACTGAGAGTCCATTCCTCAAAGACATAACCATTCCAGCGCACCAGGCCCACTCCTGCTTCCTCTGAGGTGATTGTAGAGAGAGTACACAGTCCAGCCTCTCTCAGCAGCTCAAACGACTGACATACAAATGTCGTCTCTTTCAGACAAAGTGTACGACAATCCACCAGCTGAAACACTCCTTGAATCTGACGGGAGTCGCTCTCCAGTACTGCAAAACCTGGTCGGCGATGGAACGTCACACCAGACTTGCCACCTGGGTCTGCAGAAGGTTATAAAATATTTGTTACTCATAATCGATACGATTTTCATGAGCTTGACAAAGTAAAAAAAAATTAATCAAAAAACACATCAGCAAAACATCCTAGAAACTAGATAGTTGTACACAATGACATGGCTACATACCATTCAATTGCAAACAGGCACAAGAGATGGAGGATAATGCTAAAACAGAACTGATCACATGTGACCCAGTCTGGCATTTCATTGCAGCTTACAAGACTGTGGTGCATCTGAATTTGTCTAAACATCATATTATACAAAAAATGTAAAATAAGGATGGACAAGGCAAAGTGTAAGACAGAAAAGAAACAAAGTACCTACATAATGTATATCCTTACAAAAAGGTAATTACATTGTACATTGCATGACTACCATGGCATTACCAGAAGTCACAACAGGGCACATCAAAGGCTATGTTGTGACATATATCAGACAAGAAAAGTATATTATAGCATATGCAACAATGGATGAGTTATGTTCAAAACTCAGATCACAATGAGATCAGAATTCATGAGTCCCCAGAACTGAATTTATGTATAAAAAATGATGCAGCTGCAATGATAACAAACAACTAAATACATCCTACACAAGGACACTTAACTTTCAGACAGGACAGTTACAAAGAATACTTCTGCACTAAAATTCAAAGGATCAACAAGAAAATATCCTAAAAAACCCTTGTCTGAGAACTATTTTTTGCTCTATATTGGTAGGAGAGTTTCCCAAAGAATATAGGCTCACTGTTGTTGCACTGCCACTCATAGTAGTATGAGTCAGGTGCAGGGATGAGACTGCCAGGCTGACTACGCTTGTCCTCGGTGTTCAATGTACAATTTCCTGAAGAAACGTTGTAATTGAAGGAGCTGCACTCATATGAAGTACCATCCCTCTCCAGACAGGCCTGTTGACATGACACTGGGTCACCATTGCTCACAACTTGCTCTTTAGAAAACTCCAGTAAACTGTAACCTCTCTGACGATACCACACCAAATCCAGAGTTTGGCAAGAGTCTGAAATATTTAAACATATTCAAACCCTTATTCATTAGAACTTATATGCCAAGATAATATTCTGAGAAATTTGGTAGAAAAATAAATGGTCAAGCTGATCCTTTCTTTACTTACATACAAATGCATTTCATGGACTGGCAAATCTCATGTGCATCATGACATAATGTAAGAGATGCAGTTATTAATTATTGCAAGAATAGATTACAAGTTTAAAAGGTAATTCTGTTTCATGGTGGAGTGTTGGTTATATGCACAGCTGTGTGTACAATGTTCATCTGTACATCTCAGTATTGATCACATAAATGACATTGTGTACAGTGTTGATTTGTACATCTAGGTGTTGATCACATAAATGACAGTGTGTACAATGTTCATCTGTACATCTAGGTGTTGATCACATCCATGGCAGGGAGTACAATGTCTGTACATCTAGGTGTTGACTACATGGCAGGGAGTACAATGTCTGTACATCTAGGTGTTGATCACATCCATGGCAGGGAGTACAATGTCTGTACATCTAGGTGTTGACTACATCCATGGCAGGGAGTACAATGTCTGTACATCTAGGTGTTGATCACATCCATGGCAGGGAGTACAATGTCTGTACATCTAGGTGTTGACCACATCCATGGCAGGGAGTACAATGTCTGTACATCTAGGTGTTGACAACTTCCATGGCAGGGAGTACAATGTCTGTACATCTAGGTGTTGACCACATCCATGGCAGGGAGTACAATGTCTGTACATCTAGGTGTTGACTACATGGCAGGGAGTACAATGTCTGTACATCTAGGTGTTGATCACATCCATGGCAGGGAGTACAATGTCTGTACATCTAGGTGTTGACTACATCCATGGCAGGGAGTACAATGTCTGTACATCTAGGTGTTGATCACATCCATGGCAGGGAGTACAATGTCTGTACATCTAGGTGTTGACCACATCCATGGCAGGGAGTACAATGTCTGTACATCTAGGTGTTGACAACTTCCATGGCAGGGAGTACAATGTCTGTACATCTAGGTGTTGACCACATCCATGGCAGGGAGTACAATGTCTGTACATCTAGGTGTTGATCACATCCATGGCAGGGAGTACAATGTCTGTACATCTAGGTGTTGACGACATCCATGGCAGGGAGTACAATGTCTGTACATCTAGGTGTTGATCACATCCATGGCAGGGAGTACAATGTCTGTACATCTAGGTGTTGATCACATCCATGGCAGGGAGTACAATGTCTGTACATCTAGGTGTTGACAACATCCATGGCAGGGAGTACAATGTCTGTACATCTAGGTGTTGACCACATCCATGGCAGGGAGTACAATGTCTGTACATCTAGGTGTTGATCACATCCATGGCAGGGAGTACAATGTCTGTACATCTAGGTGTTGACGACATCCATGGCAGGGAGTACAATGTCTGTACATCTAGGTGTTGATCACATCCATGGCAGGGAGTACAATGTCTGTACATCTAGGTGTTGACCACATCCATGGCAGGGAGTACAATGTCTGTACATCTAGGTGTTGACCACATGGCAGGGAGTACAATGTCTGTACATCTAGGTGTTGACCACATCCATGGCATGGGTACAAGTACAATGTCTGTACATCTAGGTGTTGATCACATCCATGGCAGGGAGTACAATGTCTGTACATCTAGGTGTTGACCACATCCATGGCAGGGAGTACAATGTCTGTACATCTAGGTGTTGACCACATCCATGGCAGGGGAGTACAATGTCTGTACATCTAGGTGTTGACCACATCCATGGCAGGGAGTACAATGTCTGTACATCTAGGTGTTGACCACATGGCAGGGAGTACAATGTCTGTACATCTAGGTGTTGATCACATCCATGGCAGGGAGTACAATGTCTGTACATCTAGGTGTTGACACATCCATGGCAGGGAGTACAATGTCTGTACATCTAGGTGTTGGTCACATCCATGGCAGGGAGTACAATGTCTGTACATCTAGGTGTTGACCACATCCATGGCAGGGAGTACAATGTCTGTACATCTAGGTGTTGACCACATCCATGGCAGGGAGTACAATGTCTGTACATCTAGGTGTTGACCACATACATGGCAGGGAGTACAATGTCTGTACATCTAGGTGTTGACTACATCCATGGCAGGGACTACAATGTCTGTACATCTAGGTGTTGACTACATCCATGGCAGGGAGTACAATGTCTGTACATCTAGGTGTTGACCACATCCATGGCAGGGAGTACAATGTCTGTACATCTAGGTGTTGACCACATCCATGGCAGGGAGTACAATGTCTGTACATCTAGGTGTTGACCACATCCATGGCAGGGAGTACAATGTCTGTACATCTCTGTACAATGTCTGTACACATCATAGGTGTCTGACATCTAGGTGTTGATCACATCCATGGCAGGGAGTACAATGTCTGTACATCTAGGTGTTGACTACATCCATGGCAGGGAGTACAATGTCTGTACATCTAGGTGTTGACCACATCCATGGCAGGGAGTACAATGTCTGTACATCTAGGTGTTGACTACATGGCAGGGAGTACAATGTCTGTACATCTAGGTGTTGACCACATCCATGGCAGGGAGTACAATGTCTGTACATCTAGGTGTGGACTACATGGCAGGGAGTACAATGTCTGTACATCTAGGTGTTGACCACATCCATGGCAGGGAGTACAATGTCTGTACATCTAGGTGTTGACCACATCCATGGCATGGAGTACAATGTCTGTACATCTAGGTGTTGACCACATCCATGGCAGGGAGTACAATGTCTGTACATCTAGGTGTTGATCACATCCATGGCAGGGAGTACAATGTCTGTACATCTAGGTGTTGACCACATCCATGGCAGGGAGTACAATGTCTGTACATCTAGGTGTTGACACATCCATGGCAGGGAGTACAATGTCTGTACATCTAGGTGTTGATCTACATCCATGGCAGGGGAGTACAATGTCTGTACATCTAGGTGTTGACCACATCCATGGCAGGGAGTACAATGTCTGTACATCTAGGTGTTGATCACATCCATGGCAGGGAGTACAATGTCTGTACATCTAGGTGTTGACACATCCATGGCAGGGAGTACAATGTCTGTACATCTAGGTGTTGATCACATCCATGGCAGGGAGTACAATGTCTGTACATCTAGGTGTTGACCACATCCATGGCAGGGAGTACAATGTCTGTACATCTAGGTGTTGATCACATCCATGGCAGGGAGTACAATGTCTGTACATCTAGGTGTTGATCACATCCATGGCAGGGAGTACAATGTCTGTACATCTAGGTGTTGACGACATCCATGGCAGGGAGTACAATGTCTGTACATCTAGGTGTTGATCACATGTACATGGCAGGGAGTACAATGTCTGTACATCTAGGTGTTGGACACATCCATGGCAGGGAGTACAATGTCTGTACATCTAGGTGTGGACATCCATGGCAGGGAGTACAAATGTCTGTACATCTAGGTGTTGACTACATTCATGGCAGGGAGTACAATGTCTGTACATCTAGGTGTTGATCACATCCATGGCAGGGAGTACAATGTCTGTACATCTAGGTGTTGACCACATGGCAGGGAGTACAATGTCTGTACATCTAGGTGTTGACTACATGGCAGGGAGTACAATGTCTGTACATCTAGGTGTGGACTACATGGCAGGGAGTACAATGTCTGTACATCTAGGTGTTGACTACATCCATGGCAGGGAGTACAATGTCTGTACATCTAGGTGTTGACCACATCCATGGCAGGGAGTACAATGTCTGTACATCTAGGTGTTGACTACATTCATGGCAGGGAGTACAATGTCTGTACATCTAGGTGTTGACCACATCCATGGCAGGGAGTACAATGTCTGTACATCTAGGTGTTGACTACATCATGGCAGGGAGTACAATGTCTGTACATCTAGGTGTTGATCACATCCATGGCAGGGAGTACAATGTCTGTACATCTAGGTGTTGACCACATCCATGGCAGGGAGTACAATGTCTGTACATCTAGGTGTTGACCACATCCATGGCAGGGAGTACAATGTCTGTACATCTAGGTGTTGACTACATTCATGGCAGGGAGTACAATGTCTGTACATCTAGGTGTTGATCACATCCATGGCAGGGAGTACAATGTCTGTACATCTAGGTGTTGACCACATCCATGGCAGGGAGTACAATGTCTGTACATCTAGGTGTTGACTACATTCATGGCAGGGAGTACAATGTCTGTACATCTAGGTGTTGACCACATCCATGGCAGGGAGTACAATGTCTGTACATCTAGGTGTTGACCACATCCATGGCAGGGGAGTACAATGTCTGTACATCTAGGTGTTGACCACATCCATGGCAGGGAGTACAATGTCTGTACATCTAGGTGTTGACTACATCCATGGCAGGGAGTACAATGTCTGTACATCTAGGTGTTGACTACATCCATGGCAGGGAGTACAATGTCTGTACATCTAGGTGTTGATCACATTCATGGCAGGGAGTACAATGTCTGTACATCTAGGTGTTGATCACATCCATGGCAGGGGAGTACAATGTCTGTACATCTAGGTGTTGACCACATCCATGGCAGGGAGTACAATGTCTGTACATCTAGGTGTTGACCACATCCATGGCAGGGAGTACAATGTCTGTACATCTAGGTGTTGACCACATCCATGGCAGGGAGTACAATGTCTGTACATCTAGGTGTTGACCACATCCATGGCAGGGAGTACAATGTCTGTACATCTAGGTGTGGACTACATGGCAGGGAGTACAATGTCTGTACATCTAGGTGTTGTGGACATACATGGCAGGGAGTACAATGTCTGTACATCTAGGTGTTGACATACATGGCAGGGAGTACAATGTCTGTACATCTAGGTGTGGACTACATGGCAGGGAGTACAATGTCTGTACATCTAGGTGTTGACTACATTCATGGCAGGGAGTACAATGTCTGTACATCTAGGTGTGGACACATCCA